TTAAAACACAGGACTACGCATCTGCTGAAGAGTAGAACAGTTGGCTTTAATTGTAAGACGGATTTTTACATAGCTTCTGACCTTTCATCTAATTGAGGCCTAAAGAAGAAAAAAAAGAGGAAAAGCTATACGTCACTTCAGTTATTAAAATCCATCAAGCTCAGACTTTAGCCTTGGGATAACCACAGCCAAAAAATTGACTTGCAAGTAATTATCACTGCTATCTGCAATAAAAGTTAATTGGACATAATTGAACTAAAGCCCTAATCTGAATGAAGCTGTTGCTGGCAAGAAGCCTGCTCCTGCCTGCACTTTGCAAATGAAACTGCTAGCAGTAAAATGGACAAACATGAGGCCGCTTTTACAGTCTGCCCACTGCAAATCACAGAGCAATTCTGCAAACAGCTCGTTAGCTGGGCCAAAATAAAGCCATTAAGAGGGCCCGTCCCCACCAAACACACCCTTCAACAATACCCAAACACGGTGAAGGCGTAGAGTTTCAAAAGCAAGTTTCAGTTTTACTGACCTCTTAATTACACGGACTGAAACATAAGATTCGCATCACGAGATGCTGGTTTCATCAGCCCCCAAACACTGTAAATAGCAGTACAAATAATGTACTTTTTGAGCACGTAAAGATACCAACTCAAAAGGTTTTCAGTGCTGATAATTTACCACCTTCATGCAGTTCAATAGCCTTTCCTGTTGTAGGACCAGCTTCTTTCATCTCCTCAGCAGAGCAGACAATTAGCTGCTTTTTGTGCTCAGCCCATGCAGGTGGCTGGGGGAAGGGAGCGTGAAACTAAATTCCTGCTGATTCGTCAATTTATATTTTGCCTTTTTGTTAACTAACAGACCTGAAAGCGGTCCTCATCCCCCATACTACTTTAGAACTTCCTTCCAATTTTAATTATTAACACTCTGCCCTTCACCAAAGCATATCAAAGCACTTAACAAACATTACTGAAGCCACATAACCACTCTGAAACAGGCAAAAATTGCACACAACTCCTTTTACAGTGGCTTAAGGTTTTTGGACCAGATTTATGTTAGAAGACTGGTGTCCTGATTATGGGCTAGCCTATGACAGAAGACATCAAGGGAAGTATCCGGCTCACCACAGGTGCCTGATGTAATTTTGGATGAAGCATTTAATCACCCGATGCAGTGGTTGCTCCTTATTAAAAGGACAGCAGTGGGTGACAGTTTTCTACCACTGAAGACAACCATGAAGATAAATGAAACTGCAGAGCATTCAATACCACCTTGACCTTCTCACGTCAAGCTTACAAGGTCACGGTCTGGGCAGTCTCCCGGGGTAACTGGAAGGAGACCACCCTTCCCTCTCCTAGGCACCATTTGCTCACCACCGCTCCTCTGCATTTTCACAGCTCAGAGCAGAACCTCTTAGCTCAAGAAAGCTGCAACAGAGAACCAGTGACATCAATTCCCTTTCATGACCCAAATCAGTGGCTTATTTTACTTTGCTCAAAGCCCTCACCTCTTTTTAAGCCTATTTTTAGATTTAACTCCGTATTCAGCAATGTGGCAGGAGCTGACAGACAACACAGGCGTTAAGTAGGGCTTGCCAGGTGTTGCAGGCCACTTCTAAGGCGAAGGAAAGATGTAGAAAAGACAAGTCGGGACGATTGTACGGCCTGGCCAAAGCTTCAAAGGAGTATTTCTGGCTGTGCTTGAAACACATATGCTAGTGGTCAGTTATGAGACAGATGAGATACTGCTTTTACCATGGGAACATACGCAAGAAATAGGAAAATCAACCTGCCTGAAGTCAAAAAAGCCATTTGAATAACTTTGTATCTGCCTCCTCTGAATTTTCACTACACTAAAGCACTCTGACCTTTAATTAATTTTCTTTCTCCTTTTATATGGTAACTTCCAACTCCCAAGTTTTTAATGCTCTATTGGTGGGAAACACGGATGAAGAAACAGTCTGGGATGTATCTTAGCTATGTTTCACAGTCCATAAATCTGCACCGTCATTTAGGAGAGGGAGAAAAGGATGCCACAGCTGAACTGCAGCAGCTAAGAGAACAGATAAGGTAAACACAGTGTTGTCATGAAAATCATATCTTGCCCAGGATATTAGGCTTACATTTGTATTTTCAAAATGCAAAACAGACTCCCTACCTGCCATTGTAACATTCACAGAAGATAACATTTTCTTCAACAAGATACCAAGAAGTGCAAACAAACATTCCTTCCGCCAAAGCATCCACTCTCCTCAGGGCAAACTAAACCCGCTTTCTTCCTACATGCTCGAGCAGCGTCTATAATATCACAGCAGCTACTATAAAACACGGAACAGACTTACAGGTACGAGTGTGCATGTTTTCACGTGAACATGACGGTATTCGGGTTAGCTGAGATGACTCCCACCCAAAGCAAACCCAGATCAGCCCAGCAACTACCGAACTACAGGATGCTGCTAACACATACCCAAGTGGAGGCACCACACATTCCCACCAACAGACATTCTCCATCCTCGTAAGCAACTTCCTTCTGCCTTCGAGTGATAAGAAACCAAAATACACATTGACCCCTTTCCCATAGTGGAGAGCCTGCAGTTACAACCTCAACACCATCAGCAAGAACGTGCACTGCATCGGTGTTATGTGCAGCTTTCCTACGTGTTCTGTATCTGGGAGAGGCACAAGGTTCTAATTCTGGGCTTTACTTTACCACAAAGGACATGCAAGAGCTGTGAGCTTCCTCACACCACTCTCGGTCAGAATTCCTCCTTCCCGACTTTCTTGTCTTCCCAGATCTGAAAAGGAAGCTTTTCTTAAGTACAGCTGCCTTGGTGAAGGGGAAAGATGAAATAGTTCCCCCTCCCATGGCTGCTTTGCACAGATCACCATTATCATTATCTTCTCTCATTCCACACTTACTATATAAAAGCCCAGAATTAAAGTCTTAATCGTGACTTACAGAAATCCTTGTGGCTGCACATGACAGAAGGATGACAGTTTTGCCTTCTAAAATATCGTTAGAAGTTACAGATTATGACAGTTCCCCAAGTAGGGAAGTAGCTATCTTGCCCTGTTTATTACAAGCTGATTATTTAAAAAGAACATTTTTTCGGAGCTAAATTTGAACAAATTTTACCTCTATGCAACACACAAACAACAATCCCGACATTTGTTAGATATTGAAAAAATATGCTTCGAGTCCTGTTTTAAAAATAGATTCACTTGAAAATGAGAAATATTTGCAAATAAGATGAGGCAGAATGAATTAGACTTCATACAAACCAAAAAACTGAACTTGCATATTAAGAAAAAAAATAAAGTGTGACTCACTTGTGGACCAGGTGTGCCGGTGGTGTGTGAACACGGGTGGGCAGGCTCACGGGGGGGTTCAGTTTGCATTGGCTATGCGTGTGTACCATTTTGACCTGTACAATTACACTGACAGTAGCTTGGTGTAGTATTTAGCTCTTCGGATACTGAATTAAGGTCCCACCTATGGTGAAATTTTAACAGCCCATTTACAAAGTAAGCAGAGAAATACATGGCAGATTTGTATTTAAGATACGAAATTGGAGATCTCTGTCCAACTGCACACTGTGCTCAAGCTCCCTAGCGGACCATGAACACATCAGCTCTTAGATACACATTTTACCATTTGTAAGGGCAAGATAAGACCTTCTTCTGTAGCTGGAGATACTGTGCAGCCTACTGTGAAGATGAAAAGTATTCCAAGAACCTCAAACAGAAGTTGCAACACAAGTACAAAACACTCACCAGCAGAAAATACAAGCTATCAGTTGAATACCAAAGAGCTGGACCAGACACTGGGATGGTGTTTTCCCATCAACCTTCAGAACAAGGTGGTGGTGCCCTGCTGGCTTGTCCTGACACAGACCTAGAGTCCTTATCAGTCTTCCAAGAAACTCAAAGGCTATCTCATAACAACTCAACAGAAGAAAAGATGAGAAATACATTAATTGTGAGTTACTGTAAAAAGTCTCTGCTATTCTCCGTGCTTTCCTGAGAAGCAAGAAATCCGGCCAGTTGTACGGCTGGCAGTTCAAAACAGCCACAGGGAAAACAACAAAGAGTGTGCAAGATGTTTTCAAAACCTCTGCACACCACAAGCACCAGAGATTTTTGTCTGCAGGCCTGATAAAACACTTCAGTGAGATCTCACCTGATTCCTTCAGCAGCTGTCAACACATCGCCTTTATCCAAAGTTTACATTCACAAAAGATTTCTTTTTTCATGGTAAGTTTTACTGACTAGAGGTGAGCAGGAGATTTCTGTTTGCTTTTGTGCATCCTTCCTCCTCTGCACTTGCCTTTTTCTTTAGAAAAAAAACCCAACACAGACGGCAATAAATAAATTACACGGACAGGACACAGAGGCAGTGGTAACTGTACTACAGTCGGTGAGACATCCCTTTGCATGGTAAACATAACCTGGCTGCGTGGGTGAGAACAAAACACTGCTACCGCACCCGTACACCCGTACCTCAACAGCAAACACAGCACAAACCCGTCTACATGAATGCCGAGCTCCTGATAACCTGGGCTGTAACAGCCATGGGCAGACCTGACCTCCTCGATGCATCCTGCACTAAAAGGGTGCACCCCCCCTCCGAACACTGTGCCGGAGTCTGATCAGGTGTACACTCGAGACAGTTACTCATGCAATCCCCCATGTATCGCTTGATTTTAATTTCCAGACAATCCGTCTTTCCAAACACTGAATTGCTACAGTCAACAAATTCAAAAGGTAAATTTTTCTACCTTCAATTAACTGCATTAGTACTGTTTATAACTATGTGATTGATAAATGCTCTACAGAAGCTGTAATTAATGTATTTTTTCCTTGGAACACATACTGAACCCCTTGGCGCTCAGACACTTAATGAAAAGCAATTTATCAACTTGCTTTGAACAGCTGAATCTGACTCCTTAATGCAGAGAGAAACACAGTTCACTTTAAGCACTACTACTCTGAAAAAGTAATGCCTACCACGACATTAGGAATGCCATCAGACACGGTTCGAGTTTTGATCAGGATGACCAGAGTGCTCATCTTGTTGAGAAACTGGAGATGATTTTGTACGGCTTAGCTGGGATCCTCTCCTCTGGGATGCAGCTGAGCAGGAGATCTGCAGATGTGCTTTTCCAGGACGAAGGTCAGGAGTGCCTCTTCAGGACACCGGACAAAGTTCCAAATTGTCCCATGCCTGCAGGGCCGGGAGCCTTCTCACCGCTCCTCGTGCCGAGCGGCACTGGCACGCTCGCCGAGAAGCAGCAGCTCAGCGTATTTCAGCCTGGACATGTGTTCAGCTGCTCACAAAGCAGACAAAAATAAAGTGCTTATGGAGTGTTTGAATGCTCATTTCTCAAATTGAGTGTTGCTTTGTATAGCTGACATATGCAAAAAAAAAAAAAAAAAAGGCATTTAGAAGGAAAGGCTTGACATCACAGAAAATTTTTATGTTGGTATTAACCGCTGGGGGGGGATTAACCAACCTTCAAAGCCTAAAATCTAACCTCACATTTCTGGGAGCACAGGCTACGGATTTCCAATATAGAAACTGGTCTGTACTCCATGTGGCAGACTGATTACATATTTCCATTGCACATATAAGTCTGTTTCCCATCCCTGCAGTGTCTTGCTCTCTTCCATTTGTCTCGTGATGCAGATAAAAGCCAATGCAGATAGCAACTGCTGATACAGAGAAAGGCGCAAGACACAGTGCGCCTTTGGACTAAGGGAAAAAAAGGACTCGGGTCCAGACTGCTAGAGCATGTCAAGAGATTGTCTTTGAAACTATAAAACTAGAAATGAAAGCACTGCGTTTTTATTTGATTTGATCAAAGCGAATAGAAGGGAGGGGGAGAAATCACATCCTACAGATGCGGGCTAAAATTTAACTACTTCACACATAATGCGGGGCCAGCTGATCCCATACAGACATAAATAAATAGAGAAAACAAAGAGGTAAAGTCACTCTCGCTCTGAATATGCTGCTTCCACAGATCACTGCTTCAGGGTCTGCCAAAGAGCAACAGGAACCCATTTCAAAGCCAGAGAGACAGAGGAAGCACATACCCAGCACTCGCCACAGGCACACATTTTCAGTCTCCAGTGAAGAGCAGAGGAGTGAGCTCCTGTCAAATCAGAGAAAACATACTCCAAATATAAAGGTAATTTGAATAAATAACTGATTTATCCCACTGTCCCACCGATCTGACTGCGGGATAGTGGCAAACTGTGGCAATCTCCTGGAGGAGGGCTTTGTACTGCGAGCTGCAAAGGGACAAGACTGTAATTCTCCTTGAACAGATCATCTGCTCCGATACGTGCTCAGCACCAGGAGAAGGAGGCTTTGCAGAAGTACAAATGGCACTACAGGTAGTGGCCTTGCAGACCCCAAAGAGTAGCACAGAAGAAACAGAAACCCATCACTGCCATGCTCACGAGGAGAAAGCGTTTTAAATATCTGCTGGATAGGCTGTGTGCTTGTGGAAATTTCTAACTGCAGAATGTGAACCATTCAGATTGCCTCTGGGCCAAAATGATCTAGGTCTTTGCCTTTCACTAAAAATTAAGCAGAAGTCATTTTAACAAGTGAGGCAGATAACAGTCTTGCACAGGAGATCAAAAAGCTCTCCAGATGTTTATTTTAAATGAAATTCAGAAGCCAGTATAAACCAGATTTTAAACACTGAATAATCCTTATCATAATCTGCATGAGAAAAAACGGGAAAAAGGTCCCATCCTGCTGCTCCGAAGCTCTCCAGGAATGCGCAGGGTTAGATTTTATTCCTAGACTCTTCAAATGGGAATGTGAAATATGAACAGCCCCACGCTGCAATGGGATGGCTGTTAAGCATGTTTCTCCCCTGTGCTACATGCTCTGATGGATGCTCACCACACACATATGGGGGCATCCCATGTGAAGGAAGCTTTGACCTTCCTCACCAAGACTATTCAAAATGATGGACTGAAAAGCACGTAAAAATGTCGGTCCTAAATCTTAAAACTTCTCCTCACCTTGCTACTTCATTGAATGCCTCCTGATTGTGCAAAAGCAGAATATTCAGGCGTCAATCTAAGTAGCTTGGGTGTTATGCTGACAATGTCTCTGGAGAGAGGAAGAGAAGAGAGGACAGATTTCCAATAGCTCAGACGCTTCTCTGTAAGGAATGCTGCTACACAGCAAGAGAGAGAAATAAAGAAGGAAAGTAACACACCCGAGAACTTTTACCAAGGTCACATCAGGATGCTGAACACTACCCATCCGCAGGGGAGGATTTAGATGCCTACTCCACTACACATATCCTTTCGCTTGTTGGCAACAACAGCCCTCATTAAACCAAACCGGTTCTAACCATGAAAGAAGGACATCGGGAAGACAATATTAGCTAACAAATACAAAAGGAAAACCAACAGAGCCAGTCGTCTTGGATGGGTGCCCTGTGCTGCAAAGCACAGTCCCAATCTGCGCGCACAGCCCCTGCACGACTCAGGAACAGGCAACACAGGCGATCCCAGCCAAAAGGAGGGACAGTCCTGCTCTGCCCAATGCTAACAGCTCCCAGCCTGCAGCAGAGAGGAGATGCTGTACCCATTCGGGCAAGAGCAGAACCGGGATCCCATCAGGAACGAGAGTTTTTATGACTTTGCTGCTACACAGGGTCACCTATGCGTTGCAGTTCCTCGTTGCTTTGAAATCAGGGCTGCAGACACGTGGCGGATCACTGCAGACAGACCATACCACGAATAAAAAAAGCCCTGCCCCCAAAATATTATATCAGTTACTGCTGTGCCCTTAACAAGAGTGCTTCTTGCCCGTTTCAGCGATCTGAAAGACACGCTGGGCAAAATTTCAAGCTATGACAAAGTGATCTTATCACTTCTGTGCTGTTCTCGCTACACAAGCCCCTGATTCAGCAGCATGTAATAAAATCTTCATTTGCATGAAAAGCACTCTCTGATCACAAAGTCTTCTGTTCAACGGTCCTCTTCCCATCTACAGTGTAAAGATGCAAGCACCACTGTCATTTTGCTGGTGACTAAGGTAGAATATTTTATTTATGCTTTATTTGGAGAGGCTCTCAACGATTTAATACAATCTTTTCCCGAAATTTTAACAGTATTTTTGAATAACACAAAAGCTGCACACACCCAAACTGTGCAAGCACTGCAAAGTTCACAGGCTACGCTTTCACCTGCACTTTTAATAACTGTGTCACATGAAGGACATTTCATATCAGCACATGGTGACCATAAACAGTTCTAAAATGTCTTCAGCGTTCAACAAGTCCAGTCTTTCCCAGTCTGCATTTACAGTGTTCGGTGTCATGACATACAGCACTCAGACAGGATATGTTTCAAAGGAAACGAAGGTGTAGCCATGCAAAGAACAATGCTTCGCCTGCAATAAGATTAATCACTGTCATGGCAAACCAATAAAAACAAGTATCTTGTTATCTTTCTTTACAAAGAGACTGTTAAAGTTTAACTATATTAGGAAACTTTTTCCCTTGGACTAAATCATGAGCCTAATGTATGTGGGCAACACACATACCAGCATATGCAATTAACTGGCTCTCTCCTGATGCTGCAGGAGAAAGTCCACTGTTTCAGAGGCAGCTTGAAGCTTTCATACGACCAGCCCATGCCCTCTCCTGATTACAGATCTCTCACCAAGGCCAGCCCCAGCTCCCTGCCCCATGCCAGATAACACCATCTCCCACTCCCAACTGTTTGCCAAAGTTAATCGTGTCCCATGTATACACCCCAAAACCACACTGGGCTCTGAGCAAGCTCAGCCAATACAGAAATACCTTTCATCACGTCAGCAGCGCAGTCCCCATTTAGAAACGTTTTCTTTCACGTTAATCCAGTGCCAAAACGTATGCTGTGCTGATCCAGAAACGGTGCTAATGATGCTGCTGCTGCCTCCTGTCTATCACTGAGCATCTAATCTAGCGCACGGCCATGCAATGACGGCCCTGCGACAACAGGCACTTTAAATTGGGCAGCTCAGCAACACATGTACGCTGAATTTTTGAACAAGCTATTCTAAGCTGCTTTGCTAGCAATTTCTGGCCCGTACAGTTTGAAAGCACACAGTTCTGGCCCTCACAAAGAGCAGACCTGTAAATGACATCTTGAGGATTAAGCTGATTGAGATGCAATTTGCCTAGCAACCATTCATTAAGCAGAGTTCAGAAACAGGCCAGCAATCTATTCCACCTCCTTATCTGAGCAGTAAACAGATAACAGTCTCTACTGTGTCCTCTGTCCTCCAGTTCAGACACATTGTAAACAGATTTTTCAGAAGTTTAAACTCCTACAGTAAATCTCAGAGAACAATCCTGCTCTCCAAACACAAGGGATTTGGTTTCACCAAGTGCCTTACGAGCGTGAAACAGCTCTAGAACAAGGGTCACGCAAATCAAATTGTGAATGCATCTGCAGTTCCTGTGCCTCCAATATTTTCTCACATCAAGAACTAAGAGTCCATCCCAGTTGTTTAAAAAAAAAATCTTAATCACACAAGCATTTGGCATTGCTATTCTGATCACTGAAAAAAATCAACAAAAATCTTATTCCTTTCCTTCATCTTCTGGAAGGAATTGATCGGCACTGCCAAAGTCTTTGATAGAGGTTCCCCCCTTCAGAGAAGAAAACAAAAGTCACGTCCTCCCTCCCATTAAGCATTTTTTCCTCATAAAATAAGCAAGACAACATAAATGTCATCAGCAAAAATGAAACCAGCTATTTGAGCTTGAAGAATTTAGCTGAAAAGATTAAGCGAAATCATGATTTTGCATAATTGTTTCTCTGCAAGAAACATCTGATAATATCCCATTCTGCTCCAAAATTAAACAAAAAAGATTAGCATGGACATATTTAAGACTATATACCTGAATGGTTTTCCTTTGGTGTACAGTTCTTCTGGGAAATCATTGTGACATACAGCATGCTATTACAATTAAATATGCAAGAAAGAAGAATTAAACTGACTATGAATAATTAATACCCTATAATACTACTTCATAAGGAAGATCTGGCTGAATATTCCCGCAGATGAGATATATCTAACTACAAGGTACATCAGAGCTGGTAGCTTCGCTTTTATGGCAGTCTAAAACACCAAATAACTTTATGGCTGCTACTTGGTTCTAGAGAAGGTACCAGCCACCCATGCCTCGCTTCTCCCACTCTCTGCCCGGGGAGCTCCAGAAAAGCTGGGAGAAATGAAAGTGTTGCAATAGTCACTGAACTGCTCACATGCATCTTGGAGGTAGCAGGCTTCCCAAACACTTCCCATTAAAAAGTATAAAGCAATTATCTGACTTCCCAGTAGAAAGAATAAAGCAAATGTGATGCAACAATTACTTATGTGATAAGATCAGGCTAAGGTTGTGAGAAAAAACAATTAAAAGGGTTTGCAGGAGCTAAGGAATGCGGCTTACTTTCCCAGAATCTATCTTAACGAGAAAGATACCATCAACTCACAGAGCAGACCTTCCTGTTTCAAGTTTACTGTTTTGGAGGCTGCAGAACATCAACTGTAGCAAAGCCACAGTTGGGTGGCTGGGTGCAACCCTCCATCTCCAGCACAAGCCTCCTTCATTAGCTCCTAGTGAAAATGGTAATTAAAAAGATGCCTTTTTTTTTTTTTTTTTTCCCCCAACAGTAGAAACCTTAAATCACTTAATACTTACTAAAGTTGGTATTCAACTCTTGACATTTTTCACTAGACACCGGTCAGGTCAGCTCTGCACTCTATCAACACAAGATACACTTGTTGCACACATTTAGCTGGAAATCCCCAGTTCCCCATAGTTTATCCAAGCAGCACAGCATACAAACAACACCCTGCCGCAGAGCGCTACTTTTAGAGATACACATTTGAAATCCAACCAACATTTGTGATCACTGAAGCAGAACAGGGCACTAGGGGTGCATGTGCTGAAGGTGACAGCCCTACAAAGCCACTCCACCAGCTCCCAGCCCTGCGCTGCTCCGGCTGCCGGCTCTGCCACGAGGGTCTCGCTCAAGCAGGATCCATCACTCTTGTCCTTCAAAGCAAACACAAACCGGGTTTTTTTCTGCGTGCAGGCAAA